TCGGCGCCAGGCCCGGTCGTGAGCGCCGCGTGTCTACGACAGCCCCGTGCGATGTGGCGACTCTCGCTGCGCCACCATGTCACACGGGGACCTGAGATCCGGTACCTTACCCGCGGCCACGGAGCTCGTGAGCCCAGACCCCTCCGTTCCGGAGTTTATGTTCTTGACCAAAACACTGCATCGCTGGGATAAGAAAATGGCCAAATTTCACAAAAGGGCGGACCCTCCAGTGCCGGGCTCCACCCCCGTTTGGGTCACACGGAGGAGGAATGAGCGGGCCCCGCGGTTCGACGCGGTGTCAGGAAGGGACTCGGTGTCCCCTTCTGCAGCGTCCCCGGCTCCGACGTCTCCGTCGCCTGGAGTTCCAGCCTCGGCGGCCCCCCTCGGCTCACCCCTTCGCGAGAGCAAGTGCTGGGCGCTGAGCCCGAGTCAGGCGCTGAAATCTGAGAGGTGAGCGGGGTGTGTGTTGGTAAAACTGCTTTGGATTCTGCCGGCGCCCAGGAAACGGGGCGGAACAGTTTTCAGGCGGGAGAACAAGAGCCTGCGAGACTCTGTGAGGACAAGCTGGGTCCCTCGGCAGGCGTAGCAGCCACGCGCTGGGGACTTCCGCGCGACGGAAATGCCAGGATTAGGGACACAGGCCCAGAAACGCTGCTGGGAGAAACGCTTCGCACGAAGCACACATACAGCGCTGTGACACATATCTCATTCTAGGAGATGCTCGTAATATCCCACGAGATTAAGAAAATAGAAACCGACGGAGGCCAGCAGCGCCCTGAGGAACACTGGGACATTTCTTAGTGTTGCGACCTGGGGGGAGGGGCAGAGCCACGGGAGCCTCGTCGGTAGGGGACAGGGACGCTGCTGAATGCCCTGCTCAGGAGAAGGGAGTCTCTGGTCCCGAGTGTCAGAGCAACACGGCGGAGAAGCCCCGTCTCGAGGCCTAAGTGAGGAGTCCACCCGGGTCATCGGCGAGTCTCGGGTCAAGACCGGAAGCCAGGCCATGTGGCGTTACACAGTGTGACAGAGGTGACAGCTTTACGCGCTGGGGATCACAACGGTGTCGCTTTGAACGGTGCACGTTACTGATGGCCCGTTAGGCTCGCTCCGTCGTGTCTGAGATGCCCCAGGCCTGCGTCACCCCACAGAAGACGACGTCCTCTCAAAACAGATGCCATCGTCCTGTCTGAGCCACCCCTTCAGTGCCCAGCAAACTATTTCGTGACTGCTGTGAAGCTGTTTTTGTGATTATCGAGGTGATCAGGATGCAGTTGCCACTCTCGCTGGGATGTCTGCTCTTGGGCTCACGGGGTGCCGGGCGGTCTTTACTGAGCAGCTGTCGAGTGCGCCCGTGTGTTCGGAATGAGCAGAGGGCCACCTTGCCTGTGTCTCGTTCGTTGCTCTGGGATGGCTTAGTTCACTGGTATTCTGACTTCAGAAATGACAGTTGGGTGCCGGAGAGTCCGATTTAATTCGTACATTAAGAGAAAGTAAGTTCACAGAACATTGACCCATTTTCTCCCTACGTACAAATGACTAGATAAGAGGACACAGTTTTAAAGGTGAAAGAGACCCACGCCTAGTAAATGCCAGGGAATGTTCCAGAAACCTCGCCGACCTCTTCCCGTCAGCCCATCAGATCAGCGCGTTAGCTCCGTTTTCTCAGTGAGGAAGTCAAGCGTCCGGTCACACGGCTGGAGCGGACAGAACCAGAACTTGACGCCCGTCTTTCTGATCCGGGATCCTTCCCCGAGTGTTCTCACCCTCACACCTTCCCGTCAGCCTGAGTCCGGGGGTCCAGGAAGGCCGCGACTTCCCCGTCCCCCGGCGCCCGCACGAAGCACACGTACAGCGCCGTGAACCCGCGCCGCAGAGTCCTCACCTGGGCTCTCGGAATGCCTAGCCACAGGTCCTGCCCCGCGCGTGAGGCCACGCCCGCCCCGCACACCTCCTTTCAGGTGTTTGTCACGGGCTCTGGAGGCCACCGTGACGTCCTGTGACGTATCGTCAGATCCCTCGCCGGGTATTTGCTTACTGATTCACCCCGCCGCCTCGCCGAGGCTCACAGGACATCCGCTGCCCGTCCTGCGATGGACCAGACCCAGCAGACGGAGTCACAGACAAGCACAGCCCCCGCCCTCGAGGAAGCTCGTGTCCCCGGCGAGGAGACAGTTAACAAGTCAACAGAGCTGCTCGACGCGCTGGACAGGAAGACAGAGGACGGCGGGGACGAGGAGAACGGGGAGGTCACGCGGAGTCCGGCCAGCGCCGCGGGGAAAGCGGCTTCGAAGTCGCGGCCTTGGAGGCCGAGAGGGTGGCAGCTGCGTCCCGTCATCATGGTGGAACAGCCGGTAGAAAGGTGGGCGGGTATCAGATCCTCTGGGCGCTCGCAGAAGGCCCCGGGGTCAGCGTCCACGCACGGGCCGGAGAGGAGAGAGAAATCGAGTCGGCCGCAGAGGCAAAGGCCGGATCCTTTAGGCCTTGCAGGTTCCAGGAGGAAATTATCCTGGGAGCAGCGGGGAGCCCTTTAAACCTGGGCGGCGATGCGGTCCAACTTGTATTTTGAAGCAACACCTGGCCACGGACGGGAGAGTGTATTTGAGGAGCAAGAGCAGAGATGGGCAGACCATGGGAGGACGGTGTCGACGGCATCGCGAGACAGAAGGAGCAGAAGAAATAGAAAGACGTGGGTGGCGTTGAACGACGCGGCAGACATCGAGCAGACGCGGACCTTCGATGACTATCCATGGGCGTTTTTTATCTGTCTGAGCGACCTCTAAGCCAGGCGGACGTCTTAACTCATCTTCGCGTCTTTCTCCTCCGCCGTGGTCATGTTGCAAACAGTGTTCCCGAGAGTCCTCCCCGGCCCCGCGTGTGTGTCCGTCCAAGAAAGCGTTACCGTCCCGACGGACAGTAGACGTTTGTCCGTAATCGGACGGCCTGAAACGTGCTCTTCTGCCCAAGTCCTGCCGTGTTCTGGGAGATTTTAATTTTCCTAAGTTCGATTCTTGCCTCTCGTTACAAATGTAGTGTCTGACGTAGCACAGAAATCGTGGTGCTTCTTAATAGTTTATCTAAGCCTCTCGTCGAGAAGGAAACGCTTTCCATGAGATTGAGCACGAGCTCCCACGTGGGAACTTGTCTTTTATTCCTCCTTAGCGGTTTTAGGTGATTGGTGACCCGCAATCTGCGTCACGTGGTGAGGGCTGCCACAGAGAGCGGATGCTGCCAGCTAATGTTTCTAATAGTCACTCCACAGAATTCCGAGAGCGTTTTAGTGACAAAAGTAGGAAAAATACTAAGATCCACGTCCTAATGACATGGATGGTACGTAGACAGACGTCCTCCATAAAGAGGAGACAGTCAAATGGCACAGCCATGATTCGTAGTTGGAAGGATGGCAGAAATGATTCCCAGGCAGTCGTATGAGATGAACTTGCCATTTGAGGTTTCTTTGCTTTGATTTCAGAATTACCATTTCGGAAGACGGGAGCCTCAGAATCGTCAACGTGACCAAATCGGACGCTGGGAGTTACACCTGCGTCGCCACGAACCACTTCGGAACGGCGAGCAGCACCGGGAACCTGGTCGTAAAAGGTAACGCGTCGCCCACATGCGCCCGTCAGCGTGCCTTCCTCTCTGGTAATGCAGTCCGTCGACGCGGCGCCCTTCAAATCCACATGAGCAGACATCGCCGCGCCGCTAAATTAATCCATCGTGGCAAACGCGGCACGATGCGTAATTCTTAGAGGGGCCTTGGTAATGAATGTGCTAGGAAGGCTATCTGACTTCGGGGTCATCCGGTACAGTTCTGAGACTCGAGCAGCCATCGTCTCTGTTACGGTGCTGTAACTAACGCTATCTCAGCCCTTTAATTAAATTTCTTTCAAGTCTCCGTAGATTAGAAATTCAAGTCTAGGAACACTGTGCTAACAGATTAAAAACCCACCACATTGCTATTTTTAGCAAACATTGTTTAAACAGTGACACTGGCGATTTTTAAAAGCGCTACCCCGGTGAGTCAGAGATCTCGATATAGATTATTCCACCAATAAAGGTCTTCGATCCCCTCTGCACTCCGCCGTAGCCACCCAGCCAGCCCTGTCAGCGTTAAGGAAATAAAATTTTCCACATCCCTTATCCTCGGTGCTTTATAGATATGACAGAAGGTCTCTCATGCTCTGAGCATCACACGTGACACGAATCTGTTCCAACACCAGGCGGATGGGACGCGTGCAGGCTGTGATTTTAATTTGCATTTTATGTGCATTTCTGTCACTTTATATCACGCCTAGTCATAGAGGTTTTGAGGCGAAGGGATCTTGGCGATGACGTGAGAGAGGAAGATGAAGTTCAGACTGTGACCTTCTCAAGGTCACCGTGAGCAGACGAGGGATGTGAGCCCCGGGACCCTCGCCCCGCACCCTCTTTCATTCTTTCTGCCGTACCAGGAAGTATTTTTACTTATTTTCTCCGTAATAAATATAAATGGGTCACATCGCATTATCTCCTTCTTGGCCATTTAAAGCTCCCTCTGTGAAGCAAGATAGCCTGAGGCTAATCAAAATATCCAAAGAGAACATTGGCCTCAATTTTAATTTAAAGAAGAAAGTTAAAAATCACCGAATTACATATTTCAGAGTCATTGGAAGTCGGAAAAGTACTGGCATTTGGGAAGCCTTTTAACCATAAACATACGTGACTGAGCAGACAGAAAACGGGAAGCCCAATGGGAAGTAAATCTGTGTTTCAACCAGCCCCGAGTTCAGTCTTTAACCATCCACTCGGCGCCATGGCACAGGCGTCCTCTGCTTCACAGGGGGGAGGGGGCGGGTTAGGTCACGTTGGAGAAACAATCCCAGCCGGGGGTTTTTGCCGACGTGTGCTGCCTGGTGAGGGGCAGGACCCGCAGGGCCCAGGGGTTCAGAGCTGCCGCCCGTTTCAGAGCGTTAGTTGGGGACGGAGCTGCGAGAGAACCCTCGGCAGCCGTCGTGGGTGGAGATCCAGGCACAGTGCCCCAGAGGCCTGGCTTCGCACCTCATTCCTCCCACTCGGAAGCACCGTGACCGTGGACAGACGGTCAGCCCGTGTGGGGAGGCCGGCAGGGCGACTGGACGGGGCTGTGGCGGTGACAGAGGCCATCCGCCTAAAGTGCTTTAGCACGGCGCCTGGCACTTTGGAAATATTAGTAGGTGTTGTTTGTATTTTAATAAAACGACTACGCCTTAGTTCTAAGTCATACTGAGATGGGCGTGTGTGAAATGTCCGCCCGACGACACATTAGGCCCATCAGCCAGGAGGAGCGAGTCCGCCGAGGAAGCGTCTGCATGAGGGGGCGTTGGACACTGACCGTGCGCGCGGTGCCCAGGCCGGTCAGCATTGCTGACAAGGGGGCTTCCACACGCAGAAACGGCTGCGTCCTGTGGTCGAGTGTCACCCCCTCATAGCTGTGACTCCCTCGGCTCTCAGGATAGTCGGCGGAGAGGGGAGTCTTGTTCCCATCCGAGGTCGTGCCCCGCAGGCCAGCCCCGGACGAAGCCCCGGGCCACCAGCCCTGCCGCTCCCCAGGCTCGTCCGGTGGCGGGTCGGATGCAGCGCCGTCGCCGGCTTTCTTGGGTAGATGGAGGTGTTGCGGAGTAGTAACTTCTACCTATTTTAGGAAACTAAATGCTTGATTATTTTTGCCTTCTAGTAAAATGTAAACAGTGATTCCCCAAGGAGGGTATAAGAGACCGTTTGAGGCAGTTCTTAGTAAACTGTGTTTTGGAGGATTTTCTTAGTCGTTATTTGCCTTTTTCAGTGTGCATTAGGAAAATACTGGTTTTCCATTTATAGCAAGGGTAAAAAAAAAAATCTTTCAAAATGTGTTTACGTCAGGAAGGGGGTCACTGCAGAGGAAAGTCCGAGGTTCGCACTGTCCCGAGAGAGTGCGTGGAAACCACGGAGATGGCGTGCGCAGATCGGGGACCGTGACTTAGCAGCAGCTCCCGGCGAGTTTCGGGGGCTCCGGGGACTTAGAGAGACGTGGGACAGGGTCAGTTCACCGCTGCCGGCGCTGGCCGCATGCTTTGCCAAGGCACGCGGGGACACTTTAAAATGGAGACTCCCTGCCACGTGGGCAGAGGGCAGCGCTGGGCAGGAAGCGCAGGTGGCTGCGCAGAGAGGAGGGCAGAGGTGTGCAGGTGCGAGCTGCGACGTGCGGCGTCCCCGCCTGGCAGCCGGGCAGAACTCAAAGCGGACTTCTGTCTGGTCCTCGGCCGCAGCCGGCATCTCCCCGGAGGGTCTCTGATTCTTACGTCATCCTCTAGATGCAGTGGGGGTAACGAGAAAGAAGCACGAGCTTGATGTGGTCGGCGCGTTCGCCGGCATGAACAGCCACGTCCCTGTGGGTGGGCCAGGAGGTGTCAGAGAGGACACACGTCCCCCGGTGCTTGCTTCTTACTCCCGTCCGCGTGAAGGGACATGCGTGTGTGTGCGCACGGGCCGCCAGGTCCCGGAGAGGGACGTTCACACAAACAGAGGAACACAGCTTAGGGACCTGCCCCGTCAAGCCCAGGCAGGCAGAGCTCGCACGCGATCGAACGGTTTAACCCGAAACGCGACCGGGCACCGCGTGTCCGTTCAGCTGTGACACCTGCCGAGGGACTGAGGTGTCAGGGTGCTCCCTAACCTGAGAGGCTCTGGCACCCAGGGTTAACACACCACGGAGCTCAGACAACAGAACACGCCTTCTCCGCCTTTGTCACGATAAACCTATCGTTAACTCCACTTTTAAAATCCAATTCTCTTCCTCCCCACCCCCACGCCCATGTTTCAGAGAGAAGCTGAAGAGAGTGTCAGACGCAGGTCAGTAAGTAGAGGAGAGAGAGGGACAGGGTGAGCCCATGACGCCAGGTGCACCAGGTTGGAGGTCAGTCTCCGCCGGGCGGACGTCAGATGGGCAGGTGTCCAGGTGTCCGCGAGCGAGCAGCTTCCTGTATGCAGAGCTCTGACAGGTGCCCACGGGGCCCTTGGCCACCGTCCCATCATCCAACTTTCTACATGTTCCTGATTTTCTCTTTCGAGCCAGTTATAGTGTATTTGGGGTTTGGCCTTGCGGTGTTAATTTGAAGCAAGAACAGTCCTCAAGTCAGACTCCTGAATCCTAACACAAAGCATCGTATTTGACATTTACACAAAGATGCGTCCCACCCTTGCTGACCCCTTCCTGTCTCCACGCCGCGTCAAAAGCGTGCCTTTCCTCGTGACACGGCGTCTTCGCTGGACAGGTCTCGTTCGAGAGAGATTTTTAGGTGGCAGTCCTAGAGAAGGGTCACTTAGAGTGTTGGTCCTGGGTGTGCTTTAGCCAGATAGCACCTCCGCTCCTAGCGAACACCTCCTGGGCTCAAAATGAGATGCAAGAGACATCATCAGGCTGTCACCATAGCTACCATGCTGAGCTATGTCCGACATGACCTCGACTGACTCTGTGGCTGGTGGTTCCAGCAACCCTGTTCTACCCCAAAGGACTCAGTACTTGCCACCAGGCAAAGGAAAGCTCACAGGGGTGCTTAGTAGGACTGCAGGTCCCCACGCTAATAAATCCACATCTCTCGTGATGAGGCCTGAAAAACGTACATCTGTAACGAAAAGCCTCGTTGGTCCTCATACACAGCGGAGCTTGGAAACACTCCATTTTCAGGGGTGGCCAAACTGTGACCAAATTCCAGAGGGCCGCCTGTTTTCACGTGGCCCAGGAGCTGAAAGTTTTATGAGATTCGCACTTCGGCGTCCATACGTAAAGTGTTGATGGGACACGGCCACGTCATTGCTCCACGTGACACGTGGAGCAGAGCTGAATAGTCGTGATGAGAGACCACAGACGCCACGCGTCCTCAGCTCTGCCTCTTGACCGGCAGAGCCTGGAAGACTCACCATTCAGCTCTTTCCAGAAAAATACTTATTTCTTCTTTCGTCTCATAGTTTTTCCCACCCCCATGAGACGTAGCCTCGCCGGGCCGTGCACAGCTTCCATGGTGCCTCGTGCAGACCTTCCGTGCGGGAATTCCCGCCTTCTCGAGTCTCATGTCGAGCTGGGGTGAGTAGGGGGGCTCTTCCCCAGGCCCCCAGCCTCACCTCAGTGTCACAGGGTTGCCCTCAGCACATGGGCACTAGCTGAAAATTCAGAGGAGCGCAGTTGGATCGTTGGGAGAGGAGACAAGTAACCTGGCAGACGCGAAAACCGTGCAGCTGGTTCGATTCTCCAGAATCTGGCGAGGCCTCGTGCTGTCGGAACCAGAGCTGTTGGGCCAGGGAGAGCCCTAGAGCACAAAACACAGCCGTGGGGGTTCCCCAAAACGCCGGTCACTCCCTAACGGCCCAGTGTCACCGGCCTCAGTCGGCTGCTCCGTCCCACACTGAGCTTACGCACCCCTCAGGCTGCAGCTGCTTCTTTTACAAATATATAAATATACACATTTATAATATACATATATAAATATACATAAATATACCTATTTATATGTTTGTATAAATATATAAAGTACGATTAATTTTTTTTGAAGTTGTTCTATATACAAATTTTACCCTGATTTCATCTGGATAGAAACATATTTTTT